GAAAGGTGAGAATGAAATGAAAAAACGAGGTGGGGGGCAGAAATACTCTTTGAGGAACCAGGAAGCATTCCAAGTCACCTTTGTCTAGTCAAATGTCTGATACGAGTTACAGCAACAGTCTGCTTTAGATAACCCACACCTCTGCTCTTGTGTGTGTGTGCGCACGTTAAGTCTCCTCAGTCATGTCTGACTCTTTTGCAACCCCATGGACTGTAGCCTTTCAGGCTCCTCTGTCCATGGGATTCTCCAGGCAAGAATACTGGAGTGGCTTGCCATGCCCTCCTCCAGGGGATCTTCCTGACCCAGGGATTGAACCCACATCTCTTATATACTGGGAGGTGTGCTCTTTACCACTAGTGCCACCTGGGAAGCCCAGCCTCTGCTCTTGTGCTCTGTCAAATACATGTTGGTTGGTTCAGTGCCCTTGGATTTACTCTACATGTAATTGTCTCATTTTATATTTGTCCATGTATTTGAAGCATCTTCAGGCAGATATGTTTCAAATAATTGAGTGGTTCCTATTGTCTTCATGAATTAAACTTACATCTCTTGCCAAGGTGGTAAGGCCTTTCCTATTTCTATTTGGCTCTTTGCTACCTTTCCATCCAGCCTAAACTCCTGATATTATCTTTCTCATGTTGGATATCACTACCCATACTCATCCATAGCTCACCACCAATAATCAACCACCACCAACTGCACTTATTAGCTCTAACCATGCCCATTAAGCCATGCCTAATAGGTCTGTCCATGAACTCCACTCCACCACCAGCCATACTCCAATAGCCCTGGCCACCACTGCAATTTCTGCCCACCAGATATGTCTACCAGCTGCAGTCCTATTTACTCTGACTCCCTCTGTCACAGCACTTTGGCTTAGTCCTGTTGTTTCTCCTTAATACCTCATTAAATATCTCATGGTCATTCCTTTTCTCTCTAGTTCTCCCTCCTTGCTGTGGATCAGACCACCACTATCTTTTGCCTGTATCACTGCACTGGCCTCCTGACCAGGATCCCTGTCTCCAGGTTAGCCTTCCCTCCAATCCAACTCATATTGTTGTTATTTAGTTGCTCAGCCATATCCGACTCTTTTGTGACCCCATGGACTCTAGCCCGCCAGGCTCCTCTGTCCATGGGATTTCCCAGGCAAATATACTGGAGTGAGTTGCCATTTCCTTCTCGAGTGGATCTTCTCAACCCAGGGATCACTGCCAAAGTGATTTTTCTGACATCTGAATACAACGCTATCTTCCTTCTTTGAACAAACTGTGGTGACCATTAGAGCTGTCTGTTAAATATATCTGGTTCTCCCTGCTTCTAGGCACATGAGATCATACTTCACCACCCTTTTAAATGTAGGTGTGGATGTGACTTGCTTTAGTCAATAAAATGTGAGCAGAAGTGATGTATGGCATCTTGGGGCAGAAACTTTAAGAGCCAGTGTACAATTTGCCCTATTCTCTGTCCCTTTGGTTCCAGGCGGTGGCTGCTCTGTTGGTCTGAGTCTATGAGTGAAGGGCCCATAGGACTGCCCACAGTAGATATGTAGCATGAGTAAGAAATCAACCTGTTGTTTTAAGTCACTGACTTTGGAGTTCTTACTGCCACAGAATCTGGCACGCTTTGAGTCATACAAAGACTGAGGTCAAGCTCAAACTTCTTAGCACAATATTGGTAGTGTTTATAATCTGACTTTACCTTCCAACCTCATTTTAAACTATTACTCTCCCCACATCCTATGCTCCAGACAAAGTCTTGTTCCTGGTATATGCTCTTCTGCTTTCTTGCCTCAGTTATTTGCTCTTCCAGCACTGTTTCCAACTCAGCATGTCCCAAACCAGCCTCTCCCTCCTTAGACTTCCAGAAGTACAATATCTCGATCACCTTCCTAGTTGTAAAAGACTTTGTTATATGTGTATCTTATGTACTCTGTTTGCCTGGAATCTCTTTGTGTCAGTTCAGTTCAGTTCAGTTGCTCAGTCGTGTCTGACTCTTTGTGACTCCGTGGACTGCAGCACGCCAGGCCTCCCTGTCCATCACCAACTCCTGGAGTTTACTCAAACTCATGTCCATTGAGTTTGTGATGCCATCTCATCCTCTGTTGTCCCCTTCTCCTCCCACCTTCAATCTTTCCCAGCATCAGGGTCTTTTCAAATGAGTCAGTTCCTCACATCAGGTGGCCAAATTATTGGAGTTTCAGCTTCAACATCAGTCCTTCCAATGAACATTCAGGATTGATTTCCTTTAGGATGGACTGGTTGGATCTCCTTGCAGTCCAAGGGACTCTCAAGAGTCTTCTCCAACACCACAGTTCAAAAGCATCAATTATTCGGCGCTTAGCTTTCTTTATAGTCCAACTCTCACATCCATACATGACTACCAGAAAAACTATAGCCTTAACTAGATGGACCTTTGTTGGTAAAGTAATGTCTCTGCTTTTTAATATGCTGTCCAGGTTGGTCATAACTTTTCTTCCAAGGAGTAAATGTCTTTTAATTTCATGGCTGCAGTCACCATCTGCAGTGATTTTGGAGCCCCCCAAAATAAAGTCTGTCACTGTTTCCACTGTTTCCCCATCTATTTGCCATGAAGTGATGGGACCAGATGCCATGATCTTTTCTGAATGTTGAGCTTTAAGCCAACTTTTTGACTCTCCCCTTTCACTTTCATCAAGAGGCTCTTTAGTTCTTCACTTTCTGCCATAAGGGTGGTGTCATCTGCATATCTGAGGTTATTGATGTTTCTTTCAGCAATCTTGATTCCAGGTTGTGCTTCATCCAGCCCAGCGTTTCTCATGATGTATTCTGCATTGAAGTTAAATAAGTGGGGTGACAATATACAGCCTCGACATATTCTTTTCCCTATTTGGAACCACTCTGTTGTTCCATGTCCAGTTCTAACTGTTGCTTCCTGACCTGCATACAGATTTCTCAAGAGGCAGGTCAGGTGGTCTGGTATTCCCATAGTGCTTATGTCTAAATCATCTTGGTATGCATCTATAATATTTAGAACAATGCTCTACATCATGTTAATGCTTGAATATTTGTTAAATGAATGTACACCGTTCCTGAAACACAGGATAATTATAGAACTTAATTTTTGTTGTGGGTTTTTAAAAGGACAGCTGTGTTGAGGTATAATGATAGACAAAAGCCTGCACATGTTCAATGCACACTACTGACTAGTTTGGACATATGCATATACCCGTGACACTAACACTACAATCAAGGTAATATCTATCACTTCCAGCTGTTTCCTTGCTTGTGTGTGTGTGTGTGTGTGTGTGTGTGTGTGTGTGTGTGTGTGATGAAAACACTTAACACAAACAAGATCTACCTTCCTAGCAAAGTTTTAAGTGCACAGTACTGGGTTGTTAACCATAAGTACAATGTTGTACAGCACATCTCCAGAACTTGTTCATCTTGCATAACTGAGACTTTATACCCATTGAACAATCACTACTCTTTCCTCCTTCTCCCTAGCAATCACCACTCTAATCTTTCTAATCTTTTCTTCTATGAGTTTGACTACCAGTATCTATCCTCCTGAGACTGGCTTATTTCACTTAGCGTAATGTCCTCAAGGTTCATCCTTGTTGTCACAGAGGGTAATATCTCCTTTATTTAAGACTGAATAACCTTCCATCACACACACACACACACACACACACACACACAACACATTCCCTTTATCCATTCATCTATCAATGGACATTTGGCTTCTTCCCGCATCTTGGCTATTGTGAATAATGGCCTGGTTTGTTTTGTGTGATTGGGTGGGTTAGGAAGTAGCTCTGAGAAAGTATAGGGTAATTCATTAGAGGGGTGGGATGGAGGTGGAAATAGGGGAGGGAACAATGGAGTTAATACACTATTGTGGGGCATCTGCTCAAAACTTAACACTGTGATGAATTTCTATAAAGAAGACGCTATTCACAACCTTTATGAACTCTCCCTCTGGTTTGGTGACAAAACATTATAGGCATGAAGCCTTATAAAACCAATGGAGATTATAGTACAGACTTGAATTACTAAAGCCTTGTTTCAGATGGTGAATTTTCAACTATTTCTGCAATGTGCTATTGCATCTCTAAGACTATTGCAAATATCTTCAACCAATGTTAGTGACAACTGACCTCAATTAAGAGCTTGTCGTGCACTTCAATTTAGGAGGAGGGGGTATTTCACAAAATCATGGTTGTTGTAAAACCAGTCCACAACCAGTGGCAGGCTGTTGTGAATTTGAAAACACTGAGTTAAAACTTGTTTCTACTAGGTTTTCTTTGACTGGGTAGATTTTTAATCTCCAGAGCTCTTTGAAGCCATTTGACATGATTTGAATGTATTATGTGTGGTGTAGTGGTCAGTGATAATAAATGTTTAGCAATGATCACAGGGGCCTGGGGGACCCTGATTTGCAGCATTCACCAATTGCTGTGGTGTAAACACTTCCACCATGGTCAATTTTATTTTATTTATTTTATTTTTTTTTACATGATTAAGAAGTTGAATATTTTATTATTAAATTGTTTATTCTCCTGCAAGGCTGTTGCTCAGTATATTGCAAAGTTAAGACAGTAATATTCTTCACTGGACACTATACAACTAACAAATTTTCTCCACTGCCAGTTATTTCTAGTGGGAAGATCATTTTGACCCAAATCCAAGGATAGCTGTAAGCAAGTCACAATGTCATATAAGGTATAAGATAACCATGTTATCCTTGAATTACATAATTTTTGTAATTAGTTTTATCAGAGATAATTTCAGGAATTCTGAATAGTATAACTGGAGCCTAGCCTAAAAATCACAGGATGCTGTGGAAAAGATACAGTGTTTATCTGAAGGCATTAGAAAGTTAAGGGGTATTTTCTTCAGGAAACATTGTTACAAGTAGTTTCTTTTGCTAAAAGTTGCTTTTTAAATATCTATCCACCACTAATTTAAGACAACTATGCTAGATTAAGTTGTTTCAAAGTAGTTTATTTAGGGGTTCCATTTTCATGCCTCAATAGATTTTATGTATTTTTCATATGCTTCTTCACTCATTAGTTCATCTAGTTCTGAAGGGTTACTGAATGTCATCTTGATCAGCCAACCATCTTCATAACAAGACTTGTTGACAAGTGCTGGATTTTCTGCTAGAGCTTTATTAATTTCCGTTACTTCTCCTGATAGAGGGGAATAGAGTTCACTAGCAGCTTTCACACTTTCCAAAGCACCAAACTCCTCTTGTTTATTCAACTTTGTCCCAACTTCAGGCAGACTACAGTAAACAACATCTCCCAAAGCTTCCTGTGCAAAATTGCTGATTCCCACTGTTCCAACACCGTTTTCTGTTGTTACCCAGTCGTGTTTTTCGGCCGGTGCGCAGTGCCCGGACGGCACCCTCCCGCAGTCCCCGGGGTCGCAGCGAGCAGGGCGCACTGGGTACCGAGATGGCGCGCAGGCTGCCGACCGCGGCCCGCACGCTCCGCACCGCTTGCAGCGCCATGTTCGCACGGGTGCAGAGGGTCTCCGCGCGGCTCCGAGAGCACCCCGGCCGGCGGGGCGGGGCGGGGCGGCCCCGGGCCCCACCATGGTCAATTTTAAATTTACTCATTGAACGTCACTGAACGTGGAGATGGGAAGAGAGGTGTACAATCAACTCCCTAAAGACTCTGCAAGCAGACCCCACAGCATACCACTCTGTTCAGGGGTTGGGGATGGAGAGGAGGGAGGCAGAATGAGGAATGAGAATGTGTAGGGATATAAACAAGCAAAGGAATGGCTTTAAAAATTCTAGAGGAAGAAGCAAGGTCAGAGGTTTGGATAATTTTGAATTACCTACTCAGTTTCCTGAAAGACTGGTTTTTGTTAAGCTGCACAGCTAAAGGTACGAGACTTCTGTCTGAGCTGCCTCAGACAGATAACTTCCATCTTCACTTTAGGAGATTTTTAAGTACTGAATTTACATTTTTAAGAAGTGTGTTCACTTTGAACTGAATCTATGGTAATACAAATCAGAATAGTGGTTACTTCTTGGAAGCAGGCACAGGGGAGCTTCCTGGGGTTACTTAAAACTTTCCATATCTTGATCTGGGTTATGATTACTTGTATGCTCATTTTTATCTCAATAATAAATAAATAATCATAAAAGTTGCTCACTTTGGACATCTTCCACCCTCTCCTCCAAAATGCTTCTTCTAAATATATGTTAGTTTAAAATATAGTGGGAAGGGAGTGGGAGGCAGGGAAGAAATAAAAATTCTCTATTAGGTGATGTACTACCAATAACTGTGCTATATATGATGTGTTTTTGCAGAGTGCACATTTCATACAGTGCATTATTCATTACACATACGGTGGTATTAGCTAGGAAATTGAGATCAGGTAAATAACATCAGGAAGTAATGACTGTTGACATTACATGTACAGTAATCTGTTTTCCCAGAACAAACTGCAAATGTATTCTGTTTGGAATTAATACAGTATTTTAAATTTTATCCATAAAAATGACTTATGAAATTGAATCCATTAGGTTAATAGAATATCACAATCATTATTCCAAACTTATTTATATTGCAATCAGTAGAATGGGATGTCTCTTCCGAATAAGAAAATGAATGTGAATGCCAAAGATTTTCCCTTATTTAATTTTAATAATGGTAAATCATATGTGATATGTATTTTTCATATTTATGCCAGTGAGTAAATTCTACCCGAGAAAATAGAAGAGGAGAATGTCACATTAAAACTTGCCAACTGTTTCTCTCAGATGGTTTTGGGTCTTTTTGTTTCCAGAATGAAATGATCAGCATTAAGGCATGGCCCCTAAAGGAGAGTCAGGTATGGCAAGGAGTGATGAGTGAGGAAAGGCTCATGGCATGGCATCATTGCTTAAACCATTTCAGAGGAGTCTTGTATTTCATCAGGATATTTCTTAAGACTAGAGATTCCAACCAAGACTTTGGAAGATATTGGAATGGCAATTCCTTTTGGGAGCAATGTTCCAAAAGGTTGGTTGGGGGCTTCCCTGGTGGTCTAGTGGTTGAAAGTCTGCCTCGCCATGCAGGAGACATGGGTTCCATCTCTGTTCCAGGAAGATTCCACTTGCCACAGGGCAACTAAGCCCATATACCATAATTATCGAGCCAATGCACCCTAGAGACCACGCTCCACAACAAGAGAAGCCACTGCAGTGAGAAGCCTGGGCACCTCAACTAGAGAGTAGCTTCCATTCTCTACAACTAGAGAAAGCCCAAGTGCAGCAGTGAAGACCCAGTGCAGCCAATAAATAAATAAATCTTTAAAAAAACAGTTTAAAAAAAAAGGTTGTGTGGGATCTTGTTGGCTTCATTGCCTATAGAAATTAGCCAATCATCAGGCTTGAAATTTTACTAAGCTAGCCATCCCTTTAGTTTGTAGTATCACCCCTGCAGGATGGCCCAGTAAAAATATTCTGCCACTTACAACTGGTATATAGCATGTTTCTTAACCTGTAAGTGCCTCAGTTTCCTCATCTGTATAAAATGGAGGGAAAAGATTACCTACATCACTGGCTTGTGATGAATAAATGTGTAAATAAATATGCCTCTCCCATCAAGGCAAGGCATGATTAATTTATCATATTGTCCAATCTCACTCCTAAAGGCATCATTTCAGAGACAATACTCAGAAAGAATGAATTAAATTGGAGACCTTCAATATGGTGCTGTGTCCTCCATAGGAAGAATAGAGGGTTCAGGGAACAAGAGGTAGAATCAGGAAAGGTCCCATTAACCATCACTTCCAGTGACCTACTGGAGGATTTTTTTGTTTCCTGTCCCTGCAACTAAGCTTCACAATGTTAGAGACCCTGGTCCCCAAAGGGGTTATAACAAAGATCCCATCGACCTACAAGCTATAACTGACACTTACTCCTCCTGGGTTCCTTGTGTTCAATGACAAGCAGCCAAGAAAACTCACCATTCTATCAGGCATAATTTACCTCAATCTGCAAGAAGACAGAGGGATCATGTTCCCTAATGAGGACAGAGAGGAATATGTGTGGCACTCAGATGCCCACCTGGGTCCCCCTGCCCAACTATTCCCCAGTCCATTATAACTATGAATGAACACGTGCGCAACCTCAGTCTGAGAAGGGTATGACTTATTAGGAGTTCTGATTGTTCAGGGATGAGGGTTTGGGTTAAACTACTGGATAAGCCACTGATACCTGCCAAGATAAAAGCTGAGGATGAGGAGAACTGAGAACGAACAGTGGAAGAGGGAGGCATTGAATACTAGTTGCCGTCCAAGACCAACTGAAGTGGGGGTGGGGAGGCTGTAGCTTATGCCACCAGTCTCCCTCTTCTTAGGCCTGCAAAAGCCTAGGATAGGCTTCTCTCTGAACATGTATGGGGATGTGGATCAGTGTGATAAGAGGGTTGGACTGTGGCTGACCTACAGATGTGTTACTCACCCCTCTTCCAGAAGGACTCACTGCCCAACTACGAGTTGGGTTGGTCTCAGCTTTTGAGCCGAGGTCACGTTCTTCTTGTGCAGCCTCTGGGCAATGACTGAGCAAGGCAGTGACACAGAGCCTAGGCGCGTCTGCCCAAAGTAGGACTCCTCAGATTCCTCTGGAATCTTTGCTCCAGAATTTCCCTGCGGGGCTGGCAGGAACATTCTCAGATCTGCATTGAGTCTATGGCTCCCCCTGCTCCAATTCTGTTTCCTCCCTCTTCCTTTACAGATGTCAATTCCCACTAAATCTCACTGTTTGCTTCCTGACAACCCGTCCTTCTTGCTTTCGAGTTTTCTGTGAGGCCAGCTGCTTCTGGATGATGTGGCATGTGATATGACCAGTGACTCCCAAGGTCACGGGCCCACTCCCATACCTCCTCTGTGGTGGGGTGAGATGTTGGATGCCATATTGTGTGGAATTTCATACTTGCACATCAAGCATTCCATAAACCCCTGGATAGTGGTCCTGGCCAAGGTTCCTGCAGATAGGAAAGGTAAGGCCACATCCCTCAAATAGATGTCTATCTTATGAGAATGAACTGCTGGCCCTTCCAAGATGGATGTGGTAAACTTGCTAATGGCTAAAAAGTGGCTCATTGGTCTGTTTGGGGGAATGGTCCTTTGCGGTGCAGGCTAGGACAGATGACAGGGGAGGCTGTCCCTGATTTGTTGAAAGAAATAGAAAAATGCTAGCCAACCCTCTCCACCTCCCAGCAATGAGTCTAAGTGATAGAGCTTAACCAAGAGCAGCCAGTGGTTTGTAATTATTATAACAACAGGCAAGATTAACCCTTGGTGATGGACAGGGAAGCCTGGCGGGCTGCAGTCCATGGGGTCACAAAGAGTCGGACATGACTGAGTGACTGAACTGAACTGAGGCAAGATTAAAGCAGCAATAAAATGGGTCTGATCAGTAGAGAGCTAGAGTTGGCTAATAACACACAGCATCTCTGAAAAATAAAAATAAAACACAGCATCCATAGACACAAAATAGATACGCAAACAGAGTATTACTTCATGGAGAGAATAAAATAAAAAGAGTAAGAATAAATGAGCTACTACCTTAATTATGAGTTTACACCAACTTCTGGGGGCCCTGCTAGGGTGTTCAGTCCCATATTTGAAGAAAGTGGCTCCAAACCAACAAACTCTCCCTTGTCTGGTCTTGAGATAAAGCACCTCTTGATGAAGCTCCTTCAGGATCCGGTCCTGTGGGGAATCCTCTGACTCCTGCCAGCAGGTGCTGCCTAAGTCTTCCAATTCCTTCAGGGTGTAGTCCCCTCCCTTCCCTATTAGGTCCGGCTGCTTCTTGGAAGGATAATGCTACTTGTAGGCCTATGACTTTGTGAGAGAACTCTGTGTTGTCTCTCATACAGAGAAGTACCAGGTGTTGTTAGGCAAGAGGGGGCCACTTCTTCAGGCTCAGAAGTTTTGGAGAAGACTGCAGAGTCTACACCTCCAGGAGCATCCACTTAGCTATCCCCATCCCATGTGTCTGGGTGCTGAGTCTTCTCAACTAGGACCTTGATGTTGACAGAACATTCCTGTCTCAGCTGCGCATTCAATGATCCTTGAAATTCAGTCACCTTGATCTAATCCTGGGATAGATCTTTACCTTTTTAAACACTCCCCATTTCTTGAAATGGGAGCTTCCTTGTAAGCTAGAGACTGTTGTGTTCTCGTGTACAGGTTTGAATTGTTGTTTGCTTTTTATTGTCTGCTTTTTAGGGCATCAAAGTCACTTAAGAACAAGCACGAGATTCTGTTTTATTTATAATTCCCCCATACATTTCAAATGCCTGATCATTCCTGGCTAGTGCATCTGTTTCACTGCCACGTGCTTCCAAAACACCACAGGTGACAGCTTAATACAGTCACCTCTTAGCAGGAAGAGGGTCCTCACTGCCAGTCAAGTGGTGAGGGATCCGGTCTCCAACCTCTGTCAGCCTGTTTTCTTGAACCAGTTCTGTTATCATGATCATGTAATGGGTTGGGGTCTTCCCTGGTGGTCCAGTGGTTAAGAATATGCCTTCTGATGCAGGGGATGTAGGTTCGATCCTTAGTCAGGGAATTAAGATCAAACATGCCGCTGT